GGCTCCCAGGAGACAGCCAGCTCTGCTCAGCCCTCTCTGGTAGGGCTTGGACAGACTATGGAAGGGATAATGGCCACATGTCAGCTGAGTGGTACAAGTCTGTCTTTTTCTTCAACACATGTCTGGGGCCCTGTGGTCCCTAGTAGGCTCTGGGCCAGGTTGGGTTCAGCATTACATAATGAGAAATCCCAGTGGGGTGGTTTCATGTCAGTTTAGAACAGAAAGAGACTAAGCCTAAAATATTGCTCTTTAATCATTAGGAAATTTGAAGAGGCTAATTTGGGGAGGGGGTGGGGTGGGGTGAGTTTTCCACGTTTGATGCTACTTAACTGTCTAGTGCTGTCTGACACCCAGGCCTTGGATGCCTAGCTGCTTGCTCATCCCTCACCCCACCTCATAAAAATTCTTCTTCAAATTCACCTCATAAAAATTCTTCTTTACAAAGAGGTACTTTCTAATCCAGCTACTTTTTTCTCAAAGGCATCTTGTTCTGGGCTCCCTGTGGTTTGCAGGTTTTTTTTCTATATTCCTCTTCAGAATCTCCTCGATCTTAAACCTAATTTCATCCTCTTTCCTCCTCTTTTCTTTAATTCATTTTTGCTCACTAAATAATTTTTGCAGAGGTTTTGTCCTGAACCTTACCCGTTTCATTGGGTTTTCTTATAACAATTAAATACGCTTTGTCCTGCCCCATCCCCAAAGTCAAGACAGAACCTTTTACAGTTTTCAGGAAGACAGCATTAATACGTCTCCCCTAGCTTTCCTGTGACCCCAAAGCTCTATTATTACCAGCAGACAAGCCCAAAGCTGCTAGAAGGCATGCCTGACTCTGAATATGCCACACTGATGGCCGCTGTCTGGATTTGTGGACAATTTGAGTTTTCTGAGGGTACTGAAAGCCTGCCGAAGTATGTGAGTGGCTCTGAGTCAAGATGTTTCATAGAATCATAGAATGGTTTGGGTTGGAAGAGACCTTAAAGATCATCTAGTTCCAACCTCCCTGCCATGGGCAGGGATACCTTCCACTAGACCAGGTTTCTCAAAGACCCATATTTAGTAAGTTAAAGACACTTTTCATAACCATATTAATTTCTGTATCCCCACAGACACCCCAAAAAGGTTCTTCACCATGACTGCCGGCCTGGAGAAAGCCTGCCACCGGTGCATATCTAAAATTGCCAGCAATGGTAAGGTAGTTCTGGTAGTAATTGCTTCTGTATTTAGGCAGCCCTGTTGCTAAGCCAGGTATATAGAGGAACTAAGATGATGTCAAGATCCACCTGAATTTTCTAGTGAAGTTGCCTTTTCTCCCCTCCTTTCTGAGTTATTTCCTGTTCTAGGCAATTTTGCGTGCTGATGGAGCACACAATAGTAACTCTATCCTGACAGTGCCTGCCTGACGCAGTATTTGGATTATAGAAGACCAGTGTAAAATTTGAAACAAACACCGCCAAGTACCCAAATACGTTTTGCAGCAGACAACCTAAGCAATATAATGTGTTTATGTCCTGTTTCAGGTGGTACCTTACATGTAGTTCAGCAGAAGTATCTGCAGGGAAAACGACCTGGTAAAGAGCAGCACAGCCAGCCAGGGAACAAACTCCACCAGGAGCAATTCCTGCAAAGCAAAACTGCTGCCAGCCTGTGTGCTGACATGGGGACACAAGGTCACAGACAGAGTATGGTTCAGGAATAGCTTCCTTTCACCCAGAGACGTTTGGAGCAGGGTCTTCATCCCGCAGTTTGCCTGTCCCCTGGCACAATGGCCGCGGCAGGAGCAGGTAGCCCTCATAAGCGGCCACGTGTTGTGGGTAGGAAGCATCAGTTATCTGAATGGAGGTCTTTCACACGATAGCCTGGGCTCACTCAGGCTTTAAAGCAAGTGGTTCATCCCACCCAAGGTGGAGGACTCAGAGGGGTGTAATGAGCTCATGGGCTGGGTGAACATGCTGGTTCTTGCTCTACGAGGAACAAAGCAGCAGAAGCCTGACCTGGGCTGGGGGCCGTACAAGCTGCGCAGAGGCACAGGAGAAACAGGCTTCAGTTTTGTAAGATCTGGGAAACACTGTCGTTAGCAGGAGGTTAAAATCCAAGGGGTTTAAAGCAGTTTACTCCTGCTGACTACATCTTTTCACACCGAGTTGCAAATGCCTTTTGCTTTCACTCCTAGGCAGTAGCAATTTCTAATTCCACTCAAATATGAGAAGAAAACCCCTTGACCACTCACCATAATTGGTACTTCACCCACACTAATTGCTGTATTTGCCAGTCTAGGGCTGTTACCTTGGGGTCTTTTATATTCCTGCTTTTGGCTTCACTTGAAAGGCTCTCAAAGTTCAGAATGAACTTGTATTAATGATTAAACCCCTTAACTCCTTGCTGCCTTACAACCCTTCAGAGAAAACCAAGGCAGGGGTACAAACAGTCCTGGCCTGGGTTCAGACCAGGCCCACCTATAGGAGCCTGGCACAGGCAGGGAAGAAGAGGACATTTTCTGGCCCACTTGTTTGTGCTCATCATTGCCCCAGGGGAAAGGAGGGCTGGAGAATGATGAACAGTGAGGAGTGTGGAGCATGTGGCACTCTCAGTATACCCCAGTGAACCTCTAGAACAAGGACCGGGCTGGAGTGGGCTCCCTCAGAGCCCACAGAAAGGATGTGTAGAGGAGGATCTGGGCCTATTGGTGAATATCACAATAAAAAAAAAGTGATATTTTCTCTGATTTTTGTTCCTACTGCTTACAAGCAAAATGTCACTGTTCCCTGTTAGTATTAAATTGGCACTGGGACTTTAATGATGTCAGAGAAAATAAATGATTTTTCTGAAATTTGTTTGAAGAAAGGGATTAGTTCTGATCTCATCTATGCTGTTTTACACCAGGAGTACCCTCTTGGGTACCCACAAAGTTACCCATGAGTAAGGCAGCTCAGAAATACTGTTCCAGGAAACTCATTATCTTTAGGTTTTCATTACATTTAAGTTCAAAATCAGCTCAGCTTTAGCTATGGATCAGCTAGTGCATCCAAAATTGATTTTCTGTTCATTAAAATGCAAACCCTCCTGAAGTGCAGTGACACTTAATTTTACTTTTTCTCATCATCTTGTGTATACTTTTCAAAGAGCATTTCAGCACAGCCCCACATTTGCACCTATGGTCTCTTGATATTTAAATGATTCTGAGGAATCAACCTACCTGCAGCATCATCTAAATTATTTTCATTCTTGGTACAGCAATTTAAATTCAGAACATTAGAGCAGTCTTTAATTAACTGACCAAAAAAAAAGAAGGCTAGTCCACTACCTTGGGTCTATTGAAAAGCAAACTGGTGGCTCTTTATATAATGCCTAGATCTTGTTTTAAAAGTACATCTGGAAATTAATCACAAGGTGCCAAAACCAGAATTTAGACCATGGCATAATTGTAGCAAAAGGCACGGCATAAAATATTGTCTAACCCTCAAAGCACCTACATCTACATGTACACTTACATTTGCATCTGTCTACATTGACATCTGCATCTGCATCTACATCTACATCTGCATGCTCCCCATACTGAAGTAATACCAGTACCTCCCTATTCTACATAATTTCTGATGAGTGCAGCATTGCTGGTGTCAGTGTTGGAACCTGGAACTTATTTTAGGTGGTGTGATCCTGGCATAGCTTATCTGGGTATCAAAGTACTGTTTCACAGTAGCACAACCTTGTCTAAGCAAACAGTGATGGCTTGCAGCAAACAGCTGGTGGCCCTGAGCTTGGATTTGGTCTGCAAGTCAGTCTTATCACACTTTCCCTGCCTCCTATGGTGGTTTTGCACTGGGGCTGGAGACCTCCATGGGAATGGCTGTTTCTTACACTGAATCCTCCAGCTGCTGAGTATCTAGTTTGGTCAAGGGATTAAAACACTCTGAGGTGGGATTCCTGCCATTTGTCCCAAGAGATTATTTATCTCCTTGCTATTGCACTTAGCCTGATGGACAAAGCAATCTTTGTTTCTGCTTAAGTTCATCTCATGTCTCTACCTTCATAGCTTTGGATCACTCACAGGTTAATTTTTTGAGTGCTCAAACCTTGTTATTTTCTCTCATTTGGTCATTGGCTAGCCAAACTGAACAGATTTAATTATTTTCCTTCAAAGTTAGTCCATTCACATCTTTTCTGCATATCCCATCTGATGTAGTGATATTTTCCTGTCACTCGAAAGCCCAGAAAGACATGTAGTATCCACAGCTACCAAATCCATGAGCAGACTCGTCTCCAGTCTGTAAAATGTACTGTCTTGTTGGAGCTTGTTCCCCAGTGATACCCATTAAGACTTGCTTTGCCACCACAGCACCTACACACACTCATCCTTTCTTTTCTCAAAGTCCCTATCAATACTGCAGGGGATGCCTGCAGATACTGTAAAGGACTAAAAAGTGGATGAAAATATCTGCTACTCATCTGCACTCCAGCTTGTTACACCGCCAGTGTCCATGCTGCTGTACAGCATGCTGTGACACTGCTTGCTAAGCTAGTGCACTACCATCTGTATCTGCCTCAGGGCATGATCAGACCCCAGGCTGGGCCAACTGACCCAGATTTGCTCACATCCAGACTGCTGGGAGTCATCTCCCTTCAGAGCACTGTTCCCATGGGGCGACTGAAGGGAGGTTACACCCAGAGTTTTGCTCCTCAGCTTGTTCATGCAGATAAAACCTGGGATAACTGAAGAATTTGTTTGGAAGCTGGTAGCATCTCATTTAAAAAAAAAATATCTTCTTTTATCAGGAACCTGACAGTCTATAGAACAAACAGCATTTGAGAGTGATGGTAATGTACACAATACTCCATTTATTACTGAATTTATTATCAGAGAGCTTGTCATACACTCTACTGAGTAGGTTGCACTACTCCATAGTGTAATGCGAGCTGTATTAGCATACTACCTAAGAAGAGTGGGTAGGTTGAGATTTGTACTCATAAATCACTTCTGAAAATCCCATGAGGAGTCTTCTTACCTGAAAAGAAAGACTTTTCTCTGTCTTCAAAGTAAACAGGGGCAGACTGAGCTGATTCGAAACTTCCAAGTGCTTGAAGAAATCATGGCAGCAAAATAAAATCTGAGGAGCCTGCAGGTGAATTGGTGTCATCTCCAGTACTGCCTCCAGATCCATCCCACATGCCAGAGGACAACTCATCTGCTGCATGCTCTGAGGCCAGGCACGTAGCTGGGGTTGGATAACTCCGGAGTAGCAGAGGGAGGGGAGAAGAGCTGCAGTGCAGGGGCATGGCTATGGAAGACGTAACAGCTCAGGCATCAGAAGAGAGACCATGACGTACAGCCATAATGGTAATGGTGATTTCAAGTTCATTTACTTCTGTGGGAAGACCCTGGCAGGATTAACTCAGCTAAACAGCAGATTTATATCAGCTGACTGTCCTGCTGGGCAGGAGACACAAAATCTGCACCCATTGATCTGATTTTTGTGTCTGCAGATTTCAAGGAACATGCAAGATAGACAGTCACTTTGCTCTCCTCTTCCTTTGTTGTGATCCCAGACAGAAGCTCTTCCCTTCACGCATTTCCCTGCACATTAGGACTCGCTCACTAATGCCTCCCAGAGCAGGACTTTACCAGTGCCCCACCACATGCTGTCCTGGAGGTGCAGAGCAGGGGCCCCTCCTGCCTTATGCCCTGACACCACCTTTGCAGAGCAGATGTCCTGAGCCATGCCCAGAAACACTTCCCTCACCCCGTTGTGTTTTTAGAGAGTATCAGCCCTCTTTTTCTACTTTTTCTAGGAATGGGTCCAGGGGGGTTTCTGACTAGCCTGTGAGGCGATATCACTGACTTGAAAATATCACAAGTCCCACATGTGGAACTGCACAGATAGCAACATCCTCTGCAGAGCTGTGCTACCCTGCGGCAAATACCATTTTCATAAGCAATTTGTCTTCGGACCAGAACGGGGCAGCACAACCCAGACAAATCCAGGCAGAGAGCGTGTGTGTCCCGACTGAACAGCATTTCTGTGAAAACCCCACACGTTTCAGGGAAAACAAGTCTTTAGTGCTGCTAGCGGCATTGAGAACGGCTGCAGAGCCCTGCCAGTTGTGTAGCCAATTGTTGAGAGTCTCACTTTGTTAAACATGGACCTGGAAGCCTTCCCAGACTATGCATCTGCCCCTCCAATTCGAGACCTAAGAGGCTGTAGCTGAATGGGGAGATAATGAGTAAATACATTCCCAGTGACTGCTTTGGGAGGGGAATTAATGAACCATTATCTTTTTCTCTTGAGCTCCAAGTGGTCTCCACCTCCCATTTCTCCCCTCCAAAATCAAGCTATCAGGTAGATGCTAGACACAAACGCAGACACCTGTGTGCCAGATGCGCAGCCCCACATATACAGAGAGCCCCCCAAGCCTTTTACAGAACTTTCCACAGCGTTGCTCCCTGGGGGTCAGACAGACCATGTGCTGCATGATTAAGAAAGGACATGATGCCTCCTCCCACCGGGTTCTTGAGTACTTGCCAGTGCAGCAAGGACAGAAACAGGAGGCAGCTATGAAACCGCAGGCAGAGGGGTGACGCTTCTCTGAGTGCTGTGCTGTGATGACAGGATTTCTGGCAACACCAGGCAGTCAGTGCAGCCCCTGCAGACCTGAACTGCACTCGTTTGGATACCAGATAAATGAGTTGCCCAGGCTGTGGGCACTAGTTGCAGGTGATGTTCATGGGTGTATTGGAAGCCCAACTCAGCTACAATACCATCACTTCCAAATATGAAAATAATAGTCTAGATAATGTAACAGCAAGAGGACCTAGCATGAAATGTGACATGTGGTGAAAAAGAAAGCTCTAGGCTGAGTTGTTTTAATGAGGGACTGTCAGCATTTGAAAGAGCTTAGTCAAGTGTAGGACACTATTCAAGCAGAGGAAGAATTTCTCTACTGTACAGCATTCAAGAGATAGGAGAGCCTGAGCAAAAATGTGTGTGTGTGAGAGAGACCAGGCAACAGGGAGAGGAGGAGGGGGTGGCACAAAGAAACAGAAGTGCTTTCTTCAGCTCAAAATATCTTCAGTCTCTACCAATTCATAGATAACAAACATGCTACTTCTGAGAAAGAAAGATGTCTCTCAAGCACTGAAGTGTGAGATCCTAGTTCTCTGCAGAGGAAACATGAGCAGCGTGTGGGGGATGGTGTGTTCCCACAAAAAGCGTCTGCAAGTCAGAAAGCCTGGTAGATCTGCCCTGAATTTTGATGCCGCTTCTATGTCCTCTGTCTCAGTTTCTCCTCCTGTAAAATGGAGTCAGTGATGTTTCGCTTTTTCTCGACGGCACCCCGAGGGTGATGTTTTGACAGTGCTTAAGAGCTTCCCGGAGTGGCACTGTAGGCAGGGTGCTGGCAGTGTCCCCGCGGTCCTGCACAGTGAGGAGGATGCCACTCGCCTTGCAGAGGTTGCAGTTCTCTGGCACAGGGAACCGCGTGACACAGTTTGCCTGGAGAAGGGCTCGTCCCACACCAACCCTGAATGCTTGCTCCAAGATTTTTTTCATGAGCCCCCAAGGAGACATCCTACTCCTTTTCTTATCCGTGCCCTTCTCAGCCCCTCTGCAATCTATGCCCACCTCTGTTTGCCGCCCTTCTGCCTACTTCGACATCTACTTGCAGATTGAGCCATTTGCCAAAGCACTCTGCAGGGACACTCGCCACAGAATGTCCTCATTATGTTTTACTCTCATTTTGCAGGGCAGCATTTCACTTTAATATTGCCAAGTGTTCATGATTAGGCACAGAGGTGACAGCTCTTGTAAAATAGACTGCTCACACTATTCTTGACGTTATTGTTTCTCACTTTCTGCAAAGGTAAGCATTCATCCTCTGCAGCATCAGGCTGTTCTGGGAAAATATCAGGGCTCAGATACACCAGCAGCTCTCTGGGGAGTAACTAAGCACCTCAGATCCACTCACCTGCAGGAACAGTCTATGTGCACCTCTAAAAGCATCCTTCCATGCAGCTTAAGCTGATCTATCCTAATGACAAGTCCCACTCCTTGCAGCAGGACTGCTGCCTTTGTGTTTATGAGTTGGGTCAGGGAGTTAGACCAGCCAGAAACTATTCACATCTGCAGTAAAGACAGTTTATTTAGCTATCAGTGAAAACTAAGTGGAATGTCATTAAAGCTACTATTTGCTTAGCAAACAGATACACCTCATCAGTTGCCATGGATTAACTGATGCAAAGTTACTTGCTACTGCACAGTCACCTGGCAGTTCCTCTGAAGCTGATGAAGGCTAAGGCAGCAGTGGCTGAATCCTTGCCCTTGCAATAAGACAGATAGAAGTAGTAGCAACAAAAGCAGTTTGTGTCTGTCATTGTTCTTCCACAGATACAAGGAATAACAATGTATGAGTTAAAAAATGGAAGCTTGAGCTCTGGGAGAGTGATAAATCACTTGCTGACCCCATCATCTCAAACGCTTCACCATAAACACTATATTCCCACTCCATCGAGGGCACTGCATTTCTTGCTACGCAACTTTGTGGATAAATAGCATCTGTAAAGCATTGGATGGAACTGATGGTCTCTAAACTTCAACCAGTCCCAATAACCCTGTCTTTCTTTTCTCATTCACAGCATGCTTTATATTCGGTCTCCTCGCTTTCCTTGCCTTACCACTGTCCATGACTTTTATAGGTAAGTTGACTACTAACACAATTTAAAAATAGGAACTTCCCAACAGTCTGTGGCAGGTTAACACATCTGGTGGAAGAAAGCTGTTGTAAAACTTAAAAGTTTCCAACTGTTAAACCTGTGTGTTGGTACTTCAGTTTCAGACAGAATCCCAGCCCATGCTTCGTGGTGGGGAGGAAGCAGTCCTTGAATTCTGACCCTATTTGTCTCAAATACCCCTCCAGTGTGTCTTACCTCACTCAATACAGGGCTCTGTCTGTGGGAGGAAGCTCAGAATCTGACACATGAAAAGATTTCATTAATCAGGATCCCTCTGTATTAACTGCACTGCAAAAATCTCAGAAGCATAGGGCTGGAAGGGAAGAAGAGATGATCTAGCTGCTATTTCTCCATCTTTTTGAAAGTGAGACCTGGTTTTGGCTGATCTGTCACTGTATAGCCCCCCAAAGGCTGGATTTGTGAGTAGCATTTCAAGATCAAATATTTAAGAAAGGAAAGGAAAATCCTTTGAGTTGCAGAATTTTATACATTTTTAAACTGCATAAGTCTCTTATTTTCTTAAGCATCACCTTTTCCTTACCATTAACATAGATTTTTTTTTTTTCAAACTAAGCATTTTCTAACACTTCATTGCTTTCTTTGGGCCCTTCACATCCTCCACATAGGTTGCGACCTCCACTTGAGAAACATAGGTAAAGACAGCAGTCCACCTCCGCTTTCAGACAGGCTCACATGCTCATGGCATCCCTGACAGATGTCTGACTTGCCCTTGCTCAAGGAAATTCCACAGCTTCCCAAGGAGCCTATTTCAGAATTTTATTGCACTCATAGACAAAATATTTTCCCCCATATCCAACCTAAATCTTCCCTATGGCAAATTAAACAGATTACAGCCTGTCCTAACCACCGTGGTCACAAAGACAGATTGGTCACCATCCTACTCAAGAGAACCTTTGAACTGTTTGAAGGCTGCTATTATAACCCTGCTCCATCTTCTCTTTTTTTTTTTTTTTTTTTTTCCCCCAGAGATCTCAAAAACCTGGTTCTTTCATCCTGACCTTACAGGTCACCGTTTCTGTAGTTTTTTATTTTGCATTTTTGCCTCCCTCCTTTGGCCTCTGGCCAATGTAACTATTTCTTTTTCCCCTCAAAAAAAAAAAAAAACAAAAAACAAAAACCAAAAAAAACCCCGAAACACAGGACTCCAGCTGAGACCTGAGGAATGAGCAGTGCAGAATAATTAGCTCCTCTGTTTAACATGCAGGATTCCTGTAAACACACCTCAAAATGAAAGATGCTCTCTGCACCAACTCATTGTCTCCAATTTAGTTTATGGTGCATTCTAAGCCCAGATGGTTTTTGGCAGCACTGCTCCCCATCAGCCATTCCTCATTTTTTATTTACATTGACGTTTTCTCTCCTGTATTCAGTGTTCAGCTTTATTGGCTGTCATCTCACAGATTTTGGATGCCTTTTTCCAGTGTATCCAGATCACTTTGAATTTTAAGTCCTGTCCT